TATTGCTATTATTATTATTATTATTATTATTATTATTATTATTATTATTATTACTACTACTATTATTGCTACTATTATTGCTGTTATTATTATTATTATTATTATTATTATTATTATTATTATTATTACTACTATTATTGCTATTATTATTATTATTATTATTATTATTATTATTATTATTATTATTATTATACACAGAGTATATAAGAATCTTAGATAATGACATAGAGACAGTAAATAGGTATCCAGTACATACGTATTTTGTTACTTAAATAACTTAATAACTTAATATACCGCGTAGGTAGTTATACATGGTAATATTTTCCATTACAAATAACTTAATATTTTCCAGGTAAGTTGCTTGTAACACCTTGCCAGTGTTGCCACACCTGAGCATCAGCATGACCCTGCAGTATGACCAAGGTAAGTGTCTCATCACTCCTCTCTTCAAGTGTTACCAACACAACAAGTTGACCTCTCAACACGTATGGATAATTTTTGTCAATTTCTGCTAATTTCCCCTTGTTAATTATTAATCTGTTTTTTTCTTACGTTTTTCTTTACTCCTTCGCTATGTTTTTCCCGCTACTTCTTTGTCTTTTTCCACTTCTCAGTTGTTTTCTTTCCCCTTTATCCTGCAACCTCAGATTTTTCCTGCTTCTTAGACCTCCACCGATTCTTAGTTCCTCCCTGCTTCTTAGTTCCTGCTTCTTAGTTCCTCCCTGCTTCTTCGTTCCTGCTTCTTAGTTCCTCCCTGCTTCTTCGTTCCTGCTTCTTAGTTCCTGCTTTTTGGTTCCTGCTTCTTAGTTCCTGCTTCTTAGTCCCTCCCTGCTTCTTAGTTTCTTCCTGCTTCTTAGTTCCTCCCTGATTCTTAGTTTCTTCCTGCTTCTTAGTTCCTGCTTCTTAGTGTCTCCCTGCTTCTTAGCTTCTCGCTGCTTCTTAGCTTCTTCCTGCTTCTTACTTTCTTCCTGCTTCTTAGATCCTCCCTGCTTCTTAGTTTCTCTCTGCCTTTTAATTCCCTCTCTGCTTCTTAGTTCTTCCCTGCTTCTTAGTTCCTGCTTCTTAGTGTCTCCCTGCTTCTTAGTTCCTCTCTGCGTCTTAGTTCCTCCCTGCTTCTTAGTTCCTCCCTGCTTCTTAGTTTCTCAATATTTTTAAGTTCCTGCTTCTTAGTTCCTCCCTGCTTCTTAGTTCTCCCTGCTTCTTAGTTTCTCCTGCTTCTTAGTTCATCCCTGCTTCTTTTTTCCTGCTTCTTAGTTCCTCCCTGCTTCTTAGTTCTTCCCTGCTTCTTAGTTTCTCCATATTTTTAAGTTCCTGCTTCTTAGTTCCTCCCTGCTTCTTAGTTCTTCCCTGCTTCTTAGTTTCTCCCTGCTTCTTAGTTCATCCCTGCTTCTTTTTTCCTGCTTCTTAGTTCCTCCCTGCTTCTTAGTTCTTCCCTGCTTCTTAGTTTCTCAATATTTTTTAGTTCCTGACTTCTTAGTTCCTCCCTGCTTCTTAGTTCATCCCTGCTTCTTTGTTCCTACTTCTTAGTTCCTTTCTGCTTCTTAGTTTCTCCATGCTCCTTAGTTCTTCCCCGCTTCTTAGTTTCTCCCTGCATCTTAGTTCCTCCATGATTCTTAGTTCCTCCCTGCTTCTTAGTTCCTCCCTGCTTCTTAGTTTCTCCCTGCATCTTAGTTCCTCCCTGCTTCTTAGTTCCTCCCTGCTTCTTAGTTTCTCCCTGCTTCTTAGTTTCTCCCTGCTTCTTAGTTTCTCCCTGCTTAGTTTCTCCCTGCATCTTAGTTCCTTCCTGCTTCTTAGTTCCTCCCTGCTTCTTAGTTCCTCCCTGCTTCTTAGTTCTTCCCTGCTTCTTAGTTTCTCCCTGCTTCTTAGTTTCTCCCTGCTTCTTAGTTTCTCCCTGCTTCTTAGTTCCCCCCTGCTTCTTAGTTTCTCCCTGCTTCTTAGTTCTTCCCTGCTTCTTAGTTCCTCCCTGCTTCTTAGTTCCTCCCTGCTTCTTAGTTCCTCCCTGCTTCTTAGTTCCTCCCTGGTTCTTAGTTCCTCCCTGGTTCTTAGTTCTTCCCTGATTCTTAGTTCCTCCCTGCTTCTTAGTTCCTCCCTGCTTCTTAGTTCCTCCCTGCTTCTTAGTTCTTCCCTGCTTCTGAGTTCCTCCCTGCTTCTTAGTTCCACCCTGGTTCTTAGTTTCTCCCTGCTTCTTAGTTTTTCTCTGCTTCTTAGTTCCTCCCTGCTTCTTAGTTCCTCTCTGCTTCTTAGTTCCTCCCTGGTTCTTAGTTTCTCCCTGCTTCTTAGTTCCTCCCTGCTTCTTAGTTCCTCCCTGCTTCTTAGTTCCTCCCTGCTTCTTAGTTCCTCCCTGCTTCTTAGTTCCTCCCTGCTTCTTAGTTCCTCCCTGCTTCTTAGTTCCTCCCTGCTTCTTAGTTCCTCCCTGCTTCTTAGTTCCTCCCTGCTTCTTAGTTCCTCCCTGCTTCTTAGTTCTTCCCTGCTTCTTAGTTCCTCCCTGCTTCTTAGTTCCTCCCTGCTTCTTAGTTCCTCCCTGCTTCTTAGTTCCTCCCTGGTTCTTAGTTCTTCTCTGCTTCTTAGTTCCTCCCTGCTTCTTAGTTCCTCCCTGCTTCTTAGTTCCTCCCTGTTTCTTAGTTTCTCCCTAGTTCTTAGTTCCTCCCTGCTTCTTAGTTTCTCCCTGGTTCTTAGTTCCTCCCTGCTTCTTAGTTTCTCCCTGGTTCTTAGTTCCTTCCTGGTTCTTAGTTCTTCCTTGCTTCTTAATTCCTCCCTGCTTAATTCCTTCCTGCTTCTTAGTTCCTCCCTGCTTCTTAGTTTCTCCCTGAGTCGCTGAAGAGTAAGACACGTGTGCAACAGTTGGGTATTTTTATTGGTGAGTGAAATGTTTCGCCTATGCAGCAGGCGTCTTCAGTCAGATACAGAGGAGATAAAATTTATAGGCAGCAGGAGTAGTAGCGAAGATGCAATCAGTCTATCATCCTTCTTGACCATGTTTTTTTATTTGTCAGTCCCTTAAACAGGAGGATTGTTCAACCCCATGGTGTGGAACATTGTTTCGTAACAATACTCTGGGGAGCGCTAAGCCAGAAGGGATCGTGCATGATAGGGTAGCTCTAGTCTCTTAGATCAAGAGCCCTTTATAATCATGCCCCCACCACCCCGACTTCTAAAATAGAAAGTCATCTTAGTGATTTCTGGAGAACTCGTAAGAGGATAATTTTGACGACATCTGGCAAAAGATTCTAGGGATAATGCTGACGATATTTCAACAACGATTCTGTGTTTATCGTGACGATATCTGCCCAACGTTCCTTAGAATAATTCTGACAATATCTTGAGAATTCTTTAATGCATAACGCTGGTCATATCTGCAGGATGCTTGTATAGACACCCAAGAGACACTTCTTGAGATAATATATTTGGAGGAGACTTCTAGGGATGATCCTGACAGTTCCTGACTATCACTGCTACAGATAATAGTGACGATATCTGGAGAACGATTCTTGTGATAAAGTGTAAACATGAATTAATTACACTTATATATCAAGCAATCCTGCTTTATAAAAAGCTCCATTCAGGATTTTCAGTAAACACCGTTTTTGTCTCGTATCAGGAGATGAGAGGCTGGGAGTTCCCACGTCTCTGACTTATCACAATTCATTTCATTCTCGTGTTACGTCGGTCATCGCGGTATCCAGAAGCAATTGCTTTACTCTCCTACGCAGAATGCTTTACTTTTCTGACAGGACAGGATACGTTACAATAGTACACAAAGTAACTCGCAGATACAAGAATTGAATCTTAAAACGACGCTCCGGTCCGTCATGTGTATTGTTCCAGTCACGGTGCTGTACCTTCTTCTTTTTATACCTTAGGATAACTTAGGATAGGTTAGGCTAGGATAGGTTAGGTTATGAATAAAATTAGTTTGCTCACATTCGTTTTCGTCCTTGGCCTAATGTAAAGAAAGTTACGGTACCCAACTCTGCTTTATCTTACGACGAGTTTTACCTCCCACATAGTCTTACCTCCCACATAGTCTTACCTCCCACATAGTCTTACCTCCCACATAGTCTTACCTTCTACATAGTCTTACCTCCCACATAGTCTTACCTCCCACACAGTCTTACCTCCCACATAGCCTTACCTCCCACATAGCCTTACCTCCCACATAGTCTTACCTCTTACATAGTCTTACCTCCCACATATTCTTACCTCCCACATAGTCTTACCTCCCACATAGTTTTACCTCCTACATAGTCTTATCTCCCACATAGTCTTACCTCCCACATAGTCTTACCTCCCACATAGTCTTTCCTCCGACATAGTCTTACCTTCCATATAGTCTTACCTCCCACATAGTCTTACCTCCCATATAGTCTTACCTTCCACATAGTCTTACCTCCCACATAGTCTTACCTCCCAAATAGTCTTATCTCCCACGTAGCCTTACCTCCCACATAGTCTTACCTCCCACGTAGCCTTACCTCCCACATAGTCGTACCTCCCACATAGCCTTACCTCCCACATAGTCTTACCTCCCACGTAACCTTACCTCCCACATAGTCTTACCTCCCACGTAACCTTACCTCCCACATAGTCTTACCTCCCACATAGTCTTACCTCCCAAATAGTCTTATCTCCCACGTAGCCTTACCTCCCACATAGTCTTACCTCCCACGTAGCCTTACCTCCCACATAGTCTTACCTCCCACATAGTCTTACCTCCCACATAGTCTTACCTCCCACATAGTCTTACCTCCCACATAGTCTTACCTCAAAGTATTTACTATTATACATGTGCAGGAAAATACAGAAAGGGCACATTTTCTACTGTTTCCATTTTTGGGATTGGACCTGATGGCCCCTCAGTCCCTAAATCCTGCGTGACCCTAATGGGTTTAGTTCTACCCTGTAATAATAATAACAGTAATTTTAAAATTAATTATAAAATTATTTATTATTACTATTATTATTATTATAAACATAATTGGAATAATGAAAATAATAATAACCAGTGTGTTATTTTCCTCTGGTCATCATCCTAAGTATGCTTTTGCCTCGGGTTTTGCGTCTGCTAAAGAGAATACTTCGATGTCTTTGATCTCTCGGTGCACTCAGCTTATTTAGCGGGATCCTCTCTCTCTTCCTGAGAGTTCTCTTCCTATTCTTCTTGATCTTTCTCCTCCTCTTCCTCTCTCTTCTTCTTCTCCACCTTCTCTTTTCCTCCTGCCAGAAAGGGAAAGAAGGGAAGGGAGAAAGAGGAGTCAGCGAGACAAAACCTGCAAAGGGATCATCCTCAATGTTTTATAGTGCGTAAAATTGGCTCTACAAAAAGTTAACTGACTGAAATAAGAAACTCGAGGGGTGATGTGGTGGGTTAAGTGGATGGTGGTGGGTTAGGTGGGTGGATGTGGTGGGTAAGGTGGGTGGTGGCTAGTTAGGTGGGGTGGTGGTGGGCTAGTTGTGTGGTTGTAGTAGGTTAGGTGGGTGGAGTTGCGTTAGGTGAGTGGTTGCTAATTAGGTGGGTGATGGTGGATTATTTGGATGTTTGTGGTGGATTAGGTAGGTGGTGGTGGGTTAGATAGGTGGTTGTAGTGGGTTAGGTGAGTTGTGGTGACTAGTTAGGTAGGTGTGATGGGTTAGGTGGGTGGTGGCTAGTTAGGTGGGTGTGGCTAGCTAGACAGGTGGTGGTGGGTTAGGTGGGTGGTGGCTAGTTAGATAGGTGGTGGTGGGTTAGGTGGGTGGAGGCTTGTTAGGTGGGGTGGTGGATAGGTGGTTTCTGGTGGCATAGAGATGGTGGTGGTGGGTAGGAGGTGTGTGCATGTGTGTGTACTCACCGAATTGTACTCACTTAATTGTGGTTTCAGGGATTGAATTATAGTTCCTGGCCCTGCCTCTTCACTGATGGCTACTAGGCCACTCTCCCTGCTTCCTGAGGTTTTATATACCTCTTCTTAAAGCTATGTATGGATCCTGCCTCCACTGCATCACTTTCCAGACTGTTACATTTCCTGACAACTCTATGACTGAAGAAATACTTCCTAGCATCTCTGTGACTCATCTGAGTCTTCAGCTTCTAATTGTGACCCCTTGTTGCTGTGTCCCATCTCTGGTACATCCTGTCTCTGTCCACCTTGTCAGTTCCTCTCAGTATTCCATATGTTATCGCATTATCCCTATCCCTCCAGTCCTCCAGTATCGTCAAGTCGATTTCCCATAACCTCACCTCGTAGGACAAGCCCCTTAGCACTTTTGCACTTTCTCTAATTTCCTGACGTGCTTGGCCAGATGTGGGTTCCAAACTGGTACTGCATACTCCAATATGGGCCTGACGTACAAGGTGCACAGGGTCCTGTGCAACATATGGGCTAGGCGCCCATATGCTGCACCAATTATTTGGATGATGTGCGCCTCAGGAGATGTGCTCGGTATTATACTCACCCCAAGATCTTTTTCCTTGAATGAGGTTTGTAATCTTTGGCCCCCTAGACTGTACTCTATCTGCAGTTTTCTTTGCCCATCCCCAGTTTTCATGACTTTGCACTTCCTGGGGTTCAACTCCAGGAATAAGTTTCTGGACCAACCCTGCAGCTTGGTCCAAAAACCTGCAGCATAATCCCTCTGAACATTAAAATGGTATAAAATACCGACAGGTTGTTAGGTAAGACACATATGCAACAGTTAGGTATCTTTATTATGAAACGTTTCGCCTACACAGTAGGCTTCTTCAGTCAAGTACAGAAAAGTTGATAGAAGCAGAAGATACTTGAAGACGATGTAATCAGTCCATCACCCTTAAAGTTTTGAGGTGGAACAATGCTCTTCTCCAGACTGAGGGACTGACCACCTCAAAACTTTAAGGGTGATGGACTGATTACATCGTCTTCAAGTATCTTCTGCTTCTATCAACTTTTCTGTACTTGACTGAAGAAGCCTACTGTGTAGGCGAAACGTTTCATAATAAAGATACCTAACTGTTGCATATGTGTCTTACTAACATAATCCCTCTGTAGTCTTGCCTTATCCTCGTCCGATTAAATTCTTCACATCTTCTTCAAACAAGGTCACTTCTGAATTTATTCTTTCTGTCATGTCATTCACATATACCAGAAATAGTACCGGTCCTCGGACTGACCCCTGTGGAACCCCGCTCGTCACAGGCACCCACTCTGACATCTCATCACGAACCATGACTTTCTGATGCCTTCCCGTCAGGAATTCTCTGATCCATTGCAGTGTTTTTCCTGTTATACCTACCTGGTCCTCCATCTTTTGCTCTAATCTCTTGTGAGGAACTGTGTCAGAAGCATTCTTACAGTCACAAAAAACGTAGTCTACCCACCCCTCTCTCTTGTCATACTGCTGCCACCCTGTCATATAACTCTAGTAGGTTTGTGACACAGGATTTACCGTCCCTGAAACCGTGCTGGATGTCGTTAATAAGCCCATTCCTTTCTAGGTGCTCCACCACTCTTTTCCTGACGATCTTCTCCATGACTTTGCATACTATACACGTCAGTGTGTACTCACCTACTCACCTAGTTGAGGTTGCGGGGGTCGAGTCCGAGCTCCTGGCCCCGCCTCTTCACTGATCGCTACTAGGTCACTCTCCCTGAACCGTGAGCTTTATCATACCTCTGCTTAAAGCTATGTATGTGTGTGTGTGTGTGTGTGTGTGTGTGTGTGTGTGTGTGTGTGTGTGTGTGTGTGTCTGTGTGTCGAACAAATATAAAAGCAAACAAAATTAGCTAAACACAAAAATCGAAGCTCAGTCGTATATTTTCCTTAATTTTTTAATTTATCTTATTTCTTTTTGAAGCAAATTGTTGCAGCCTAAAAAACAAACAGTAATAGTCGAAAATAATGAGGTGTGATCAGGAGTGTGTTAAGTGAGTGTGCACTTGCAGCCTCAGTTACTTACAATAAGTGGTCAGTGTGCTTGTGTTGTGTGACAGTGAATGTCTTATTAAGTTTTATATGGTTATCGAAAAGTAATCAACAATAAATTAGTGGATCCAGCCTTAACCTGTGTGGCTTAATGTAACGTTGTTTCGATGTGCTTTGTGTTGCTGAGTGTAGTACTGTGTTGCAGGGTGTAGTACTGTTAGAAGGTATAGTGGGGCTGTGTTGCAGGGTGTAGTACTGCTAGAAGGTATAGTGGGGCTGTGTTGCAGGGTGTAGTACTGTTAGAAGGTATAGTGGGGCTGTGTTGCAGGGTGTAGTACTGCTAGAAGGTATAGTGGGGCTGTGTTGCAGGGTGTAGTACTGCTAGAAGGTATAGTGGGGCTGTGTTGCAGGGTGTAGTACTGCTAGAAGGTATAGTGGGGCTGTGTTGCAGGGTGTAGTACTGCTAGAAGGTATAGTGGGGCTGTGTTGCAGGGTGTAGTACTGTTAGAAGGTATAGTGGGGCTGTGTTGCAGGGTGTAGCGGAGTGTTTCCAGTGTTGCTTTGTTACATGCTTTAGAGGATTGTTACCAAGTGTGAATACGTTTAGCTACAATCTGTAATGGTGCTGTTTATCTTCGTATTGGCGTTGTGTAGCACACTACATTGGTTAGTTATGGGATGTGTTTGTGCCCTGCAAGATGTAGTAGCGTCTTACAAGGTGTAGTAGTGTGTTACAGGGTGTAGTGTTATGTTAAAAATAGTAGTAGTAGAGTGTTACAGGGTGTAATGGTGTGTTAGAGGGTATAGTGGTATGTTACAGGGTGTAATGGTGTGTTAGAGGGTATAGTGGTATGTTACAGGGTGTAATGGTGTGTTAGAGGGTATAGTGGTATGTTACAGGATGTGGTAGTGTGTTACAGGGAGGGTGTAGGGCTGTGTTACAGACTGTATTGTTTTGTTACAGAGTAGTGTGTGTTACAAGGTGTAGTGGTGAGTTACAGGGTGTAGTAGTGTTACAGGGTGTAGGGGTATGTTACAAGGTGTGGTGTGTATTATATTGTGTAGTGGTGTGTTACAAGGTGTAGTGGTGCCTTATAAAGTGTGAAGTAGTGTTACAGGGTGTAGCGGTGTGTTACAAGGTGTGAAGAGTAGTGTTACAGTGTGTAGCGGTGTGTTACAGGGTGTAGCGGTGTTACAGGGTGTAGTAGTGTTGAAGGATGTAGGGTGTGTTACAAGGTGTGGTGGTGTATTATATTGTGTTGTGGTGTGTTACAAGGTCTTGTGGTGTCTTATAAGGTGTGAAGGAGTAGTGTTACAGGGTGTAGTGGCGTGTTACAAGGTGTGAAGAGTAGTGTTACAGGGTGTAGCAGTGTTTTACAAGGCGTGAAGTAGTGTTATAGGGTGAATCAGTGTTACAAGGTGTGAAGTAGTGTTACAGGGTGTAGTGGCGTGTTACAAGGTGTGAAGAGTAGTGTTACAGGGTGTAGCAGTGTTTTACAAGGTGTGAAGTAGTGTTATAGGGTCAATCAGTGTGTTACAAGGTGTGAAGGAGTAGTGTTACAGGGTGTAGTGGCGTGTTACAAGGTGTGAAGTAGTGTTATAGGGTGTAGCAGTGTTTTACAAGGCGTGAAGTAGTGTTATAGGGTGAATCAGTGTGTTACAAGGTGTGAAGGAGTAGTGTTACAGGGTGTAGCGGTGTGTTACAAGGTGTGAAGAGTAGTGTTACAGGGTGTAGTGGTGTGTTACAAGGTGTAGTGGTGTGTTACAAGGTGTGAAGAGTAGTGTTACAGGGTGTAGTGGCGTGTTACAAGGTGTAGTGGTGTGTTACAAGGTGTGAAGAGTAGTGTTACAGGGTGTAGTGGCGTGTTACAAGGTGTAGTGGTGTGTTACAAGGTGTGAAGAGTAGTGTTACAGGGTGTAGTGGTGTGTTACTAAGCATGAGGGAGTACGGAACAAAACTGCACAATACCATGACTGGAACAATACACAAATAACCAGCATACAGGAGAGAGATGTGTTGCACTGTGTTGCAGTAGTGTTCTGTAAGGTGTGACGGAGTAGTGTTACAGTGTCGTGGTGTCTTGTAATGTTTGACGGTGTAGTGTAACAGGGTGTGGTGCTGTAAAAACTAATTAATATCTTCTTCTTCACTCATAAATTGACTTTTGTCCATCTATCCTGACTAACTATAATCACACAATAACATTACTGCAAACAAATAACTAAACCCGTGGAGTTCTATCATTCACTTGCTCTGGGTTTAAACTTTTCCCGTTCATTGGTTTTTCCTAACTAAATATCTGTAATTCATTACTCATGTTTCCATAATTATATATCTTCTGTTCGTCCTTGCAATTCTTATATATAAGAGGAAGGGAAAAATCAAATAAATAACGATAGAGAAGCGAGGTCGTAAAGTGAGTCTCAGGAAATGAGAGTGAGAGAGATAGGAGGATCCCGTACATAGCACGAACGCTGAGTGAGCAGCAGTGTAGAGACGCTGTCTGAAATATTCTGAGTTGTGTTTCTGACTCAGCCCAGTCTGGTGGTGATAGTGTTGATGGTGGTGGTAGTAGCGGTGGTTGTGATGGTGGGTGGTGATGGTGGCGATGATGGTGGTGGTAATATTTGTGATGTTATGGGGGTTTGTCTGAAGATATTGGATGTCTTGGAAGTGTATAATTAGGAGAGTCTTGAGGAGATACTCAGGCCTGCCTGTCAAGTCCACTACTATGCCTGGTATGGAAGTCAGGATGAACTCTGTGGCCTACAGCTCATGTGTAAGCCACAGAGTTCATCCTCACTTCTAGTGACATCACGAGACCCATAGTCTCGTGATGTCTCAGTTAGAAGGGAGCAAATCTATGTAATACCTACACAGTAACACTACTGACAGCTTAGCAATTCTCTGGGCATATTCTATACAATACCAATGTACACAACAGTTGAACATAAGGAACTATAAATAAGGATGATGACTGATGCCTTACAAATTATGATAGAATCAATGATACAGATTAACAAAAGAGATCAACAAAGAGAAAATCAACTGATCTACAGATTCTGAGGAAATATATTTACAAAGGAGAAAGTGTTTAACAGAAAATGCAGACTTGGTGCACACAAGTATTTTACTATTAAATCACAGAATTTGGAGAGAATGTGAACACTTAAAAAAAAATGAACATCAATAAGTTGATATAGTGAACACAGTTGAAATACTCTAGACTAAATTATCTATCTATAGGGATTATTTATATTTAACCCCAACTCTGCTAGGGCGAGATTTACATATGCAAAGTGGTCATCTCTGGGAGTCAAACTGTTGCAACAGCTAACATGCTGTGGTTGAGGAGGATCTAAATTGAGTTTTACATATGATACTTGTGGATTCCTCATTTGTCATGTATGTAAGGAATAACAACAGCCAGGTTGTTCATCTGTCTGGAAGTTAGAGGTAGAGGGTATTACGTCAGGAAGATTGTTAGAGTCTATTGCATTTGTCTAGATCTTAGGAACTTTGCCATCATCGCATACTAACTTCAAATGATTTAAATGTGGGTCTTTATACTGGCCAGTACTGATTTCTCAACCTTTATACTCAATGCCACTGACATGTTCAACTACTGGATATGAACCAACAAACCTTTGCTCGAGCTTGGGCATTGCAGGCGTTTCATTTTAGTTATTCAGCATAACTCTCAAACCTACTTTAATTTTGGTTGATTTTGCTTGAGTGTTAGTTGCTCTTGTAAATTCTGCTGATGATTTAAGAAGCGTTTCTCAGATTCTTCTGAAGACACCTTGAGCTAAACTGCTGTGAGTCGCTATCATTACTCTCTTATCCTTCTTTTCACTTCACAGGATGTCAAAGTACAATAAATTGATTAAGTTCCAACTACTTTTATAGGGAGTCAAAAAATCACATAAAAATTTATGGCCTTTAATATATTTTTCCTTACAACATATCAATAAAATATTAAGCTTTTTTCTCATATATTATGAATGCACAATTATATTTAGTAATAACTACGCACAGGACCTTAATGTTTCATTAACAGTCACATGAATAAAGTTACTAGTTATAACCCGGAGGTTTTCAGATCACCGGTGAATATAACAGATAGTTGATATTTGACGTAATGTACAGATAAGTTCCCCACGAGCACCTTAAGTATAATATAAGGGAATATGGCTATTACAACAGAGGACTTCCAAGCCATGCACTTGAGCTGTAGATCGGCTGCTACTGACTGTAGTGGGGGAGGGGTGACCTGACATAAGGTAGGTCACGTGACATATGCTTAGAGGGTGAAAATGTTAACCAGAGACTGGTTGTTACACAAGTGCTTCACATATCACATTGTTACACGCAATCTAAATAATTTTACTATAAGCATAAATTTACATGATTCTATCTGGTAACTCATATGAGGCCCCAGATAATATTATACAGTCGAACTTGCTCATTTTAGCTATTAACAACCAGGTTTGCAATATGATATTAAGTGATATCGGCTCGAAGTAATGCATAAGTTGACCAGGTGTAACACTATGAAGTCATCAGGATTGTAATTTGGTTTCGGATTAGAATATAACAACTCATATGGTAAGTACTTATCTACACCATACAGTGCATAATGTGGAGTGTCACCTATAAAAGCATTGTAAGCAGAATTTATGGCACACCGAACGTCAGGTATAACTTCATCCCAGGATGCACCATTGGGATTAAGAGTGACTCTCAATACATCGAGTACTTTCTTATTAGTTCTTTCTGCTAAACCATTACTGGCAGGATGGTGAGGAACAATGGTCGATTTAGAGATCTTCTACACAGTACACAACTTTCAAGAATCTCATTACAGAATTCACCTCCATTATCTGTTACTAGGAACTTGGGAGTGGTATGCCTGAAGATTGTACATTCCTTAATTGCTTTAGCTACTGTCTCGGCAGTCTTATCTGCAACAGGAACTAACTCACAATATCTGGTGAACTGGCCTACCATAACACAAAAATGTTTGTTGCCCTGGAGAGAACATTGGAAATTAGTTAACAAATCTAAGGGAACTCTTTCCCAAGGTTCGCTAGTAGTGGGATACACCTGGATTGGATTAGGACCACTAATATTACCTTTATTTTGTATATAGACATTACATTTCTTAACATACTCAGAAATATCAGTTGCCATACGAGGCCAAAAGTATTTCAATCTGGCTTGTTTTACAGAAGGATCCATACCAGGGTGTGCAACACCTGGTACATCGTGAACTAACTGTAAGGTTACATTCACTAGTGACTGTGGAATTACTAAGTGGTTTACTCTTTTGCTAGGAGTGTCCAACTCAGCTGTGTAATACAGTAACTCTTGGTTCATGACAAAGTCTCTGATGGGTGCTGGTGGCTTCACTGAGAGAGTTTGATCTTCCTGTAGCAGGAATTGAATCACACCAGACCACATGGGTCTTTGAGCATTCTTTACATCCTTGGCACTAAATGGAGGATCTGCTATTACTATACTAATATGTCGTAATAAAGCATTGCGACTACATTTGACTTACCAGGTAGTGTTCAAAAGTTGGGTTGGACTTTTGGTTAGTCAAGGACCGTCTGGTTAATCTTCCAGTAGGTCATTTATTCTGGAATAGCAGAATCAGTGGACCATGATCTGTCAAGACATGAACAGGGTACTCATATATAATGTCTCAGAAGTGCTTTAAAGACCACACTGTTGCTAAGGCTTCTTTCTCAGTTGCAAACGCCTCAGCCTTTGTAAGGACTCGGCTAGCATATAGGACTGCGTTGTACTTTCTATTGGTTTTTTGAGCTAGGACGGTAGATACGCCAATATACTATGCTTGTAGTGTAAGTTAGCTGTATATCAGGATGCCATGTTATCGTTGCCAGCTGTCAGTAGTGTTACTGTGTACTGTGTAGTATACTTAGATAATCAAAGCTACTATATAGATCTGCTCCCTTCTAGCTGTGACATCACGAGACCCATCACACATGAGCCGTAGTTCATCCTCACATCCATGCTAGGCATAGTAGTGGACTCGACAGGCAGACCTGGAGTTCTCCTCAAGACTCTCTTAATTATACACTTCCAAGACATCCAATGTATGTATTTCTTAATCCAATATCACCTGACAAACCCCTATGACACCACCACCATCAGCATCACCACCATCACTACCACCACCACCATGACCTTCATCACACCTCACCACACCACCCATCATCTTCACGACCATCACCCCCACTACCACCATTACACAACCCTATTTCCCAAACCCACATTACTCACCCACACTATCACCAAAGCCACTATACCTTTATCACTATCACCGACCACCATCACTACCCTCACCATCACACACCACCACACTACCAAACCATCACCTACCATCGCTATCACACCCTCACCACCACCACTATCATCACCACCACTCATCACAACCACCACCATACACCATCACCACCACCACATCCACACTACCATCAACACCACCACCATCCAATCTCACACCACATCACCACGCACCATCACTCTACCACACCACCACTACACCACACCACCATCACACCACACACTACCACCACCATCTCACTACACCACCATCACCACACCACCACCCACTATCACCACCATCACACACCACCACCACTCCCATCCCACCATCACCACCACCACCATTATATCCACCATCACCATCCACCACACCTCACCACCTACCACCACACTCACTCACCATCCTCACCACCACCCACACCACCCTCACCCACCACCATACCACCACCATCCCATCACCATCCACATCACCACACACCACCACCACCATATACACACACCACCATCACCACCCCACCACCCCACCACCACATCATCACCACCCACCACCACACCACCATACCACACCACCACCATCCAATCACACACCACCACCACCACCACCACCACACCACCACACCCACCACCACCACTCCACCACCACATCACCACCACCATCCCACCACTACCACCATCCACCACTCCACCACCACCACCACCACACCACCCTACCACCATCACCACACCACCATCACACCACCACCCACACCACCACCCCCACCCCACCACTACCACCATCACCTTCATCATTACCACCACCACTACCCTCATCTTCATCATCACCACCACCACCACCACTACCCTCACCACCGCCATCACCACCACCACCACCACTACCCTCACCTTCATCATCATCACCACTACCCTCACCACCATCACCATCACCACCACCACCACCACCACCACCACCAGACTGGGCTGAGTCAGAAACACAACTCAGAATATTTCAGACAGCGTCTCTACACTGCTGCTCACTCAGCGTTCGTGCTGTGTACGGGATCCTCCTATCTCTCTCACTCTCATTTCCTGAGACTCACTTTACGACCTCGCTTCTCTATCGTTATTTATTTGATTTTTCCCTTCCTCCTCTTATATATAAGAATTGCAAGGACGAACAGAAGATATATAATTATGGAAACATGAGTAATGAGTTACAGATATTTAGTTAGGAAAAAACAATGAACGGGAAAGGTTTAAACCCAGAGCAAGTGAATGATAGAACTCCACGGGTTTAGTTATTTGTTTGCAGTAATGTTATTGTGTGATTATAGTTAGTCAGGATAGATGGACAAAAGTTAATTCATGAGTGAAGGAGAAGATATTAATTAGTTTTTACAGCACCACACCCTGTTTCACTACACCGTCAAACATTACAAGACACCACGACACTGTAACACTACTCCGTCACACCTTACAGAACACTACTGCAACACAGTGCAACACATCTCTCTCCTGTGTGCTGGTTATTTGTGTATTGTTCCAGTCATGGTATTGTGCAGTTTTGTTCCGTACTCCCTCATGCTTAGTAACACACCACTACACCCTGTAACACTACTCTTCACACCTTGTAACACACCACTACACCTTGTAACACGCCACTACACCCTGTAACACTACTCTTCACACCTTGTAACTCACCACTACACCTTGTAACACACTGATACACCCTATAACACATTCCTTCTCACTTGTAAAACACTGCTACACCCTGTAACACTACTCCCTCACACCTTATAAGACACCACGACACCTTGTAACACACCACTGCACAATATAATACACCACACTTTGTAAAACACCACTGCACCCTCTAACACAAAACTGCACCGTGTAACATACCACTACGCCCTGTAACACACGTTACACCCTATAATACACCACTACTATCTGTATTAAACCACTACTATGCGTAATAACACACTCCCCCCTGTAATACACTACTACACCTTGTAACACATCATACACCCTCAAACACACCGCTGTACCTTGTAACACATAATTACACCCTGTTACACAACATAATACACTCTGTAACATACTACTACTATCTGTAACACACCACTACACACTGTAACATTCCTTTACATTATGAAACACACCTCTACACTCCGTAACACACCATTACACTCTCTAGCACCACATTATACTATATAACACACCATTACACTCTGTAACATACCACTACACTCTATAACACTCCATTGCACTCTGTAACACACCACCTGTAACACAGCAATAAACCATGTAACACACCAGTGCACCTTGTAAGGCACAGTGGTGGCGATGGTGGTGGTTGTCATGGTGACCTAGATGGTTGTGATGGTAGTGGTGGTGGTGTTGGTGGTGGTGGTAGTGGTGGTGGTGGTGGTGGTTGTGGTGGTGGGGGTGGTAGTGGTGGTGACGGTGGTGATAGCGATGGTGGTGGAGACATGAATACCCACCCGTCAAATGGAGACAGAAACAAGTACCAGTGATGTGACTGTGACATAAACAAGTACCAGTGATGTGGATGAGACATAAACAAGTACTAGTGATGTGGATGAGACATAAGTACCAGTGATGTGGATGAGACATAAACAAGTACCAGTGATGTGACTGTGACATAAACAAGTACCAGTGATGTGAATGACACATAAACAAGTACCAGTGATGTGACTGTGGCATAAACAAGTACCAGTGATGTGAATGACACATAAACAAGTACCAGTGATGTGTGGATTAGACATAAGTACCAGTGATGTGGATGAGACATAAACAAGTACCAGTGATGTGACTGTGACATAAACAAGTACCAGTGATGTGAATGACACATAAACAAGTACCAGTGATGTGACTGTGGCATAAACAAGTACCAGTGATGTGAATGACACATAAACAAGTACCAGTGATGTGAATGACACATAAACAAGTACCAGTGATGTGAATGAGACATAAACAAGTACCAGTGATGTGGATGAGACATAAGTACCAGTGATGTGGATGAGACATAAACAAGTACCAGTGATGTGACTGTGGCATAAACAAGTACCAGTGATGTGACTGTGGCATAAACAAGTACCAGTGATGTGGATGACACATAAACAAGTACCAGTGATGTGACTGTGGCATAAACAAGTACCAGTGATGTGACTGTGGCATAAACAAGTACCAGTGATGTGACTGTGGCATAAACAAGTACCAGTGATGTGGATGACACATAAACAAGTACCAGTGATGTGGATGACACATAAACAAGTACCAGTGATGTGAATGAGACATAAACAAGTGCCAGTGATGTGAATGAGACATAAACAAGTACCAGTGATGTGAATGAGACATAAACAAGTACCAGTGATGTGAATGAGACATAAACAAGTGCCAGTGATGTGAATGACACATAAACAAGTACCAGTGATGTGAATGAAACATAAACAAGTGCCAGTGATGTGACTGTGACATAAACAAGTACCAGTGATGTGGATGAGGCATAAACAAGTACCAGTGATGTGACTGTGACATAAACAAGTGCCAGTGATGTGACTGTGACATAAACAAGTACCAGTGATGTGAATGACACATGAACAAGTACCAGTGATGTGACTGTGACATAAACAAGTACCAGTGATGTGAATGACACATGAACAAGTACCAGTGATGTGACTGTGACATAAACAAGTACCAGTGATGTGAATGACACATGAACAAGTACCAGTGATGTGACTGTGACATAAACAAGTACCAGTGATGTGAATGACACATAAGCAAGTACCAGTGATGTGAATGACACATAAACAAGTACCAGTGATGTGAATGACACATAAACAAGTACCAGTGATGTGACTGTGACATAAACAAGTACCAGTCATATGGATGAGACATAAACAGTCACTTTTACGAACATTGATACCATTAACTGTGCTGTTCTACGCAGCTGTGATAAAGAACACCAACACTGGAACATTAACTGTGCTGTTCTACGCAGCTGTGATAAAGAACACCAACACTGGAACAATAACTGTGCTGTTCTACGCAGCTGTGATAAAGAACACCAACACTGGAACATTAACTGTGCTGTTCTACGCAGCTGTGATAAAGA